TTTTCCAATCTCTACTGAGACCTATAGTGCCAAAAAAGGGGAGGTTACATAGAAAACAAGACTTAAATATAAAAAGTGGAACCCTTCAACTTTTATATAATTTGCCAACTTTCTTAGGTGAGAATAAAAACTACTGTGATTAAGAGCTCTTATAAATCATTCCTAATAAAATTCCTATATATTTTTCTCTGCTTATAAGAACAAAATCCTCCATCTGTGGGACTTTTGCATGGCATCCATTTAAGTAAAATCTGCTCTGCCATCTCCTGCCCCAAGGCAGGATATCTCTGCTTTATCTCTGCATTTTGAACCATTTACTCAACAAGCCAGTCTTTGCTGATCTTTTGTTCCACCCGTGCTTTGGGGTGGTTACTCAATAACTTATCGCTTGACAACAAATAATCTCGTTTTTTCCTGCCCTATATATTGTGTAAATTTCCCCAGAATAAACGAGACTTGATCAGAACCCTGTCTTGTCTCCATTTCTCATGTCTCTTGTCCCTCCTCATCCTCACTCCCCCTCTAGAGTCCTCGTTGCTCGACCTGTGGGATTCCATCTCTCCCTTACTCAAGTCTAAAATACATGAGAAGAAGAATGAAGAATAAGTCTTGGGCCAGGAGGCCTCTTTATCCTTGTGTAGCCATGCTTATTATGCTCCCATGTGCTGACCTCTTCTCTAAAAATGACAAATGTGTTCCCTCATCTCCACTTCCTTGTTAGTGTTCAAATTTCTGTGATGTCAACCTAAGACCACTCTCTCCTAACTGACTGCTCCCTTTGTATGAAGTCATATTGTTGCTCCCAAAATATTTTAATAAAACCTAATGATCATAGCAGTCCCCTTGTTAGGTGTTTTAATGAGTTCAGTGAATTTCACATGTCTTATGGCAGTAAAGAGCCTTTTCAACCTGGCAATGCCCTCACTCTTACCATCCTCCTCCTTTCTCCCCTCCCTTCTAGCTGCTCTCTGCTTCTAGGGCACCTGGATCTCATTCCCGTCTTCCATCTGGCAAAATTCTACTCTCTATAGACCCAATTTAAAAGTCAGTTACTCTGTGATACCTTTCTTCATTTATTCATTGAAATGTTCTTCTGAATTATTATTTGGTCTTGATAAAAATTCTATTATTTAATTATTTTTAACTATGACTGTTTACACATCATTTTATGCTATTAGACTGTTTCTTGTTCCTATATAAATTCCTGATGCCTAAATTTTATTTATTAGCTGTTTCAATCACAAATGATTTTTTATATAGTATATCTTTACCCCCAAGAAATTTTCCTCCCCTCTCCCCCCTACCCTACAGAAAGTCTGGGGCAGGGGCGGTGATAATAATAATAGTGACAGCAAGTATTTCTTTTTCTTTTTCTTTTGAGTTGAGATATAATTGACATATAATATTAGATTAATTTAAGACATACTATGTAATAATTCAATATTTGTATACATTGAGAAATCAGTACCACAAAAACTCTAGTTAACATCTGTCACTTTAAATACATACAATTTTTTTCTTGTGATAAGAACATTTATCACTCTCTTAAGCAACTTTCAAATATGCAAAACAGTATTATTTATTGAGAACTTATATTGCCAGGCATAATTCTAAGTTTTTTATGTGGATCATCATGTTTTACCCTTATAAAAGTCCTATGAGTGTCTGAGGCACTATTAATTATTATCTGCACTTTCTTCGAGGTGAAAAAATTACAACTTATTAAGTTGCCGAAGGTGATTGCATTTCAAATACCTATTCTTAATTACTAGTGCCTAAACACAGGTCATGAACATAAAAAGACCCTGGGCTAGATAAATCTTTAGTAAATCAGGTTTTTTGTTTTTGTTTTTTATTGTTTTGTTTTGTTTTTTAATCCTCACCCGAGGACATTTTTCCATTTTTTGTACAGATAGAGTGGGAGGGAGAGAGAGGAAGGGAGAGAGAGAGAGAGAAACATCGATGTGAAAGGGACACATCGAGTGGCTGCCACCGCATGACCAACCAGGGTCGGGGACAAACTGCAACCGAAGTACGTGCCCTTAGCGGGAACCGAACCCGGGTCTCTCCGGACCGCAGGCCGACGCTCTAACCGCTGAGCCAAACCGGCCAGGGCTGTTTTTGTTTTTTAAATAGGAAGACCATGAATGTTGTGGCGTGAAAAAACCGAGAGAATACCAGAGTTGAATTAAAGCCAAATAGAGAGCAAAGCTGGCAGAAGACTGATCCTGAGTTCTCGGAGATCAGCCCCTACTGGGCTTGTTACAAATTTCTGCAACTGGCATTTCTTGTTGGCCTTGGGGGAGAGCAAGCAAGCAAGTACAGAGGCTGAGGCAGTTAGTTATATATGAGAGGGAACCGAGGTGGGACTGAGCTAAGGTGGAGGGAACTGGGTGAACTGGGTCAGCACACATCTATCCTGCTATTCATTTTATTGTCTAAGTTCTAAAAAATAACAAATTTGCTTAGAGGACAAGTACATTTATAAGAGTACCAGGCCAGCTGGTACTTCCTCAGTTTGCCTCTGAAAGCTCCATGGTTGGCCTTTTGTATTATTTAATCAGGACGAGGTGATAGGAGCAGGCCAGCACACCGACCAGTGTGGCTCAGTGGATTGAGTCGTCCAGTGGACTGAGGTACTGGTTCAATTCCTAATCAGGGCACATGCCCTGGAGGGCTCCATCCCTAGTAGAAGCTGGGCAGGAGGCAGCCCATTGATGTTTTTGTCTTACATCGATGTTTCTATCTCTCCCTTCCTCTGTCTATAAAAATCAATAAAAACATATTTTAAAAAATAAAATAAACAGAAAGAAATACAATTTTTAACTTAAGATTAAAGGATTGCAGCTCATACATAATCAATTAAGGGTCTATGGTTGTCAGAACCACCTAGCCAGAAGCAAATGGAAACAAAACTCTTCACTGCAGATTCTAGGATTCATTTCCATATTTCTTCAGCTTTTCAGTGCATAAAGTACAAAGCTAGAGTCCTATATGAAACTATATCAGCAAATTCACTGTGAACCTAATGGGCTGACACCTCTTTGTTCACATACACTACTAAACATTACATAGACTAATCTGTTTTGAAGGAAAAGGAAACAGTGATCATTCAGCCTAAATAGTTTATAATACATTCTATTCTGGAGGTACTGAGTCAGTCTTTCTGGAATTTTAAAAAATGACTCCCACCCAACCTGCCGCTACATTTCTTAAGGCAGTACAGTGACACAGAAACCATCACAAAGGGGATTTGTCTATCCTGCAGTCTGAGGTGTAATCAGGTTGTAGCAGATTACCTAAGACATATATACAACTTCAGTAAATAAGGTAACATATTTGACAAAGATCAGAAATAAATCCTGGTGTTTTTTAATAGGAAACAATAATTAATTTAAGCTTGGTAGGATACCTTGAAACACTTCTGATTATACTTTTTCTTAATGAATACTGGTGGTTAACATGGTGCGGTGGTAGTAAAAATACCTCAAAAATCATTTGTTAAGATCTTACTACCTGCCAGGCACAATACATACATCATCTTGTTTATTTCTGAAAACAACCTATGGGAAAATGTTATCATCCCTATTCACAAAAAAGGAAACTGAGACTTGGAGAGATTAAGTAATTTGTGCAATATTGCCCAGCTAGCAAGTGACAGATTTGAATCTTGGCATTTATAACTCCAAATCTTGAGCTCTTAACTACAAAGTCACAATATCTTTTTATCCAAAATGAGACTTTGAAGATAAGTAATAATTTAAATGAGTAATATTCCTCATCTGTAACTTCAAGAAGAATAGGTTCTAATCTGAAAGACTGCCCTATTTGTCACTATTCAGGCAGGAGCTCCTCCTTCCTAAAAAAATCTGAGACTAATTATAAGGAACTGGAATGTCTGCACACCAGCTGTACTAATAAAGAAGGCTCTGAGGTCATTAATTCTCATACACACACAAGGGTCTTCTAAAGAATGGGGTATGGTGAGAAGTCAGGAAAAATTCAAGGTCCTGATGCAAAATATGTCTCTTCCAACGTTATAGCAAGAGAAAACTGTTTTCAAAGAAACAACCAAATATGAATAAACAATTAGATCTCAGAGTTGAAAGGTCTTTATTCAAAATGTGTAGACTTATCATTAGTACTGAAAATAATTTGCTATATTATATGTACAATTCTGTACATTATTATTGTTGTGGCCAGGGATAATACAATGAAACAAAAACTGAAATTTCATTTTTTTAAATCACTAAATGTCTAGATTTATAATGTAAAACCTCTGTATTAGTTACAAATTATCCCAAAACGTGGTGGCTGAAAATAACAAACATTTATCATCTCACCATTTCTGTGGGTCAGGTAGTTGGGAGTGGCCTACCTAGGTGGGCTGGCTCAGGATCTCTTGCAAGATTGCAATTAAGGGGTTGGCCAATTAAGTTAGGACCAGGGAATAGTCTTCCAGAAGACAGGATATAATGATGTTTAGTCTCTAAGCCTTATGCTCTATCCATCTTAACATATATACATATTTGTGTTTACACTTATATACAAATATACGTGTATTACAGAACTCAATCAGAAACCAGAATGCAAAATATCAGGCTTAACTAGCAAAAAATTTTTCAGAAATATATTTAATAGAAAAATTTCACAATATTTGTAATATGCCCTAGCCCTCTTTAATGAACACAATAAATGTAAACAGAATAAAAGTAAAATAAGAAAATATTTATATAAACTTTAGGCTATTACCTAAATTTAGCTGGTGATAGAATAAAATAAAATAAATATAGCACTACTTTGTGATATCAGGATGCAAATTACTTGATTCAAATGAGATAGTATTATAGTCAGAGGTTCATAACTACTTTTCCACTACTGCTTACTTATTCAAAACCTAATATATAAGGCAAAGGATCTGCACTTTGGGTAAGCAAATAATAAAAAGAAATTGTCTGTTCAGTTTATGCTGGTTCCTTATAAACATGTTCCAAACTTACTATCAGATTATTTTTATACTACTGCATAAAAGAAGTTGCTTGAACTGTTGAGTAGAATACCCTTCTTGTGAACTGGACTCAAAAAAAGACTCCTCCTGAAACTGTGACCTTGAGAAAGACAATGCAGGCTATTAAAAAAAGAGAGAGAGAGAGAGAGAATTAACAGGCTATGCTTGTTGCTGAAATTGCTTCTCAATTAGGATTGGGTAAGATCTGCCTCCAAGGAAGGACTCTGCAACGGCAAATGCTTATTTATTTATTTTTCTTCTTTAAAACTAATCTGTATTGTTGAATGTATTACAGATGTTCCTCATTTTTCCCCCATTGACCCCCTCCACCCCACTCTCACACCCCCTCCTGCCTTTCCCCACACTGTTGCACTGTTGTTTGTGTCCATTGGTTATACATATATGCATATAAGTTCTTTGATTTATTTCTTCCTACCCCCCAACCCCTCTACCCTTTGAAGTTTGTCAGTCTAGCAACCAATTTGTTCTTCTTAATCCCTTCACCTCTTTCACCCATTCCTCCAACCCCCCTCCCATCTGGCAACCAACAAAATGTTCTCTGTATCTATGAGAATGTTTCTGTTCTGCTTGTGCATTTTGTTTGTAGATTCAATTGCCGATAGATATGTATTCATTGCCATTTTATTTGTTCATATTTTTTATCTTTTTCTTCAAGAAGACCCTTCAACATTTCATATAATAATGGTTTAGTGGTGATGAACTCCTTTAGCTTTTCCTTGTCTGGGAAACTCTTTATATGGCCATTGATTCTAAATGACAGCTTTGCAGGATAGAGTAATCTTGGTTGTAGGTTCTTGCTTTTCATCACTCTGAATATTTCTTGCCACTCCCTTCTGGCCTGCAAAGTTTCTTTTGAGAAATCAGCTGACAGTCTTATGGGGGCCCCTTGTAGGTAACTAACTGCTTTTCTCTTGCTGCTTTTAAGATTCTCTCTTTGTCTTGAACCTTTTGCATTTTGATGATGATGTCTCTTGGGGTTCATGTTTGGGACTCTTTGTGCTTCCTGGACTTGTATGTCTGTTTTCTTCACCAAGTTAGGGAATTTTTCTGCCATTATTGTTTCATATAGGTTTTTGATTTCTCATTCTCTCTCTTCTCCTCCTGGCACCCCTAAGATGCGAATGTTGGCATGCTTGAAATTGTCCCAGAGGCTCCTTACACTATCCTCATTTTTTTGGATTCTTTTTTCTTTTTGCTGTTCTGATTGGGTGTTTTTTGCTTCATTATATTCCAAATCAATGGTTTGCTTCTTGGCTTTACGTACTCTACTATTGAATCTATATAAATTATTCTTTATTTCAGTTAGTGTCTCCTTCATTTCTGACTGTGCATCCTTCATTTCTGACTGCTCCTTATTTATGTTCTTGAGGCCCTCAGTAAGTTCGCTGAGGTTCTCACTAAGTTCATTTAGCATCCTTATAAGCAGTATTTTGAACTTAGCATCTGTTATGTTGCTTATCTCAATTTTGCTTAGTTCTTTTCCTGGAGATTTATTCTGTTCTTTCATTTGGGACCTGTTTCTTTGTCTCCTCATTTTGGCTGCCTCCCTGTGTTTGTTTCTATGTATTATTTAACGAGAGGTATGGGGCTAGCTGAGACCAGATGCTGCTTGTTTGAAAGAATTTAGGAAAACCTAAAGCAGGATCCAAGACAGGCCAATTCTATGGTTAAGCAACTGACAACAGCTTGGGTGGGCCTGAAAGTTGGGTGGGGCGGGGCCTCAGGGAATCACCAGGGAGGGGAAAACAGTGTGAGACAAGTTGCTTGAGTCCCAGATATGGCGGTTGTCCAAAGGACCAAAGGCCTCTAACAGCACATCTGTCCAGGAAAAAGCCGCCTCTTCAGCCCTTGCTCCAATGCCAAACAGCTCGGTTCTTCCCTGTATGTCTCTGGCACCCCTCAAGCTGCTTCCCCTCTGAGCTTAGAGGGAGCAAGTCCGAGTAAGTCCATGTGTGGGCCCTTTAAGAGTAGCTGCCTGGGGCAGCTCATCGCGCCTCTTCCCCTCCTACCAGTCTCTATGTGGCTTCTTCTTTAATTTTGTACTTGTAGGACTTCCCTTTAGCTTGACTACAGGCGGCTTTGAATGATGGTTGTTCTATAGTTTAGTTGTATCTTTGATGTGGTTGTGGGAGGATGCGATACCGCGTTTACCTCCGCTACCATGTTGACTGGAAGTCTGGCACATGCTTTTATACACTAGCCCTCCAAGCCTCCTATTATTATCTATAAAAGGGATTTAAAAAACCTGACTCCAAAAGGCATCTGTAGGAGTCCTTTAAAATAATTCAAATCATGGCAAACAATCCTAATTTGGTTTTATGTCACCACCTCTAACTGGCTCTAAAGAGAAGATCTCACAGCTAAATATTGAGAGAACTGCATTAAGATTCCATGTGTCCCAAAACTAGAATATTGCCATCATTTGTGCCAGACCTAAGGGCTATAGTATTATTTCTTTAGGAGTAACCTGTTGTAACAAATGGATGAGGGCAGGGGAAGGTGACTGTACAATTATGTGACTTATTGCCACGAGTTCCCTAACTATCAAATCAGAGCACGTGCAAGAAAAGAACACAGCACAATAAACCCTTGATTTTGGAGACCTCAATTTAACAAACTCCATATTTAATTAATTAAATTTCCAGTCTGTATGTCATATATGAAAATTAACACCCTGTTAATTTTAAATGCTTTTAACCAGGATTTGCTTATAATTAAATTAACTGGGTTTTTTTTTTGTTATTGATTCACTGATATTTTTAACAAATATTAGCGACTAGGCCGTATGTTGGAAAAAACATTGTAGTAATTTTGCTGACATAAATAAATATTACATATCTACAACTATAGTCTACATATTTAAATCCAAGAGTCACTGCTCATAAACAATGTTTGGTGAATGATTAGCATGTGATCACACCACATCTCACCCAGTAATTGGTTCTGTTGTTTTGTGGCATGACTTTCTGCAGCAGTTTTAACACAAGCCAGGCCATATGTTCTGATGTGCGCTAAGCCTCACGCTAGCCATGTGCATTTGTTTACTTGGTGACTGGTGAATGCACACATTTACTGGACCTATTTGGTATAACTTTAAAATTACAGTAATACATAGAGAAAACTTTTCCATAAAATTAAACTTTTCACACATACTTAATTTTAATTACACAAATGTGTCTATATAAATAAAAACAGATAAACTTGTCAACTTTTTAACATACACATTCTGAAAACCTTTATTATACAACAGACATTTGGCTGTAACAAACACCTCCCTTGCCCAAATGAGTCCTTTGTATAGAAATTTTACTGTACAGGTGTGTTTTTCACAGAGCAGAGAATGAAGGGAAAGGCTTGCAGCACTGGCTAAGAGGTCCATTCGAGGAGGCTACCCAGGAGAGTAGGAAGATCCAAGGGATGTGGAGAGTAGGAGGATCCAAGGGACGTGGAGAGCAAAACCCAATAAAAAGAAGACACAGAAAACAAAGATTGGGGGAGGGGGGCATGCCAAATGACAGTCTGTTTTCCAGTTTTGCCCAGGATCGGCATCCAGGGGCATTTAGAACAACAACAAAAATCTTACAGCACAAACGGGGGTCTTGAGTAAATGGAGAAACAGAGGGAGAGATGCAGGAACTCTCCTGCCAGATACCTTAAATTGTTTACTTTTTGTCTAGTCGTTTTATACCATCCCTTACTCTGCAAAAAATTAATTGTGTTTACATGGTGTGGTGTGTAAACATAAGAACTTAACTAGTTTTTGACCCGTCTTTTGATTTTTCATCTATTAGAGAAGTGGTTTGATTTCATATGCTTTTTGTTCTATATTTAGACTACAGCCCAAGGACTCTCCCTTTATAAAAGGTACATAGACATCGTTTTAGATTTGTCTAATGATTTAGGGGAAATAGACAACTTTCAAAACATGCCTATACCACCTTTTTACCACTAGGATCAAATTTCAGTTGAATATTAATTTAATTTTCCTTTACCTTGATGGAACAAAAAGCAAGTCAAAATTAGATTTGACTAGATTATAAAGAGGGGCCACTGTCAAATGACCAGTGATGTCAAGGAACCTACAATGTCTTGACTCTTTACTCTTTTATATGTACAGAGGACTATGAGGGTAATTCAGAAGGGGAAAACCCTTTCCATGGCTCACTAACAGAAGGGATGTAAATTATGATTTATTGCCTTAAAAAAATCGCCCTTAAACATAGTGTCTTATTACAACTGTTTATTCTGTAGTTTCTGATCATGACATTCTACTCATGCTTCTGCAGTTTGGCAACTTGGGCTGGGTTCAGCTGGGCTCACTGTATCTGCAGTCACCTTGGAATAGCTGGTCTAGAGGAATCTCAGCTGAGATGTTTCATCTGTTCCATGTAGTCTGTCATCCTCCAGCAAGCTGGGCTAGTCTACTTCACATGGGAGCAGCAGGGTTCCAAGAAAGTAGTTAGAAGCAAAAATATCTCCTGAGGTCTAAGCTTGGAGTACACATGACATTACTTCTATCACATCTATTGGCAGCTCAAATTCAAAGGGTAGGAAAATAGACTTATTTTCTCAATAAGAGTTTCTGTAAAAAACTGTGGCCATTTTTGTAATTTACCACAAAAAAGTCCGAGAAAGATTCTGTTCAGGAAAACACACCTGTTCTTTACACTAGACCAGAATACTTGGTAATGTTAAATCAAATGCCCCCTCTCTATTAACCTAATTAATATAGCTTTGGTATACACTCAAACAAGTACTGGAAATAATTACTTATAAATGTTTACTTTTGTCTTAAAAAATTAAAATCAAAGTAATTTGCAAGTTATAAAAAGGAAAAAAATTAAATCCAATAATTTAATAGATCCAAAGTATTAAACTTTAAGTGAACATTTCTTTGTGCCCAACAAAGCCTCAAGTTATCAACAGTTTCCTGAAACATATTGTCATAAAACGCTTGATAATATATTCAGGTGCTTATTAAATAGGTTGAAAATCTATGAAAAATTTTCCTCCCTCTGCATTGATTTCTCAGTAATGATTATGATGCATCCGTTTACTGTCTATATGCAGACACTATACTTTGTGCTTTAAAAGGTTCATCTCCATTATCCTTATACTCCTGGTAAGATAGATCTGTAACCCATTTTCAGATTAAGATCCTGAGGGTTAGAGAGTTAAGTAACTTTACCAAATTCACACAGCTAGTAAGTGCCAGGACTAAAAACTCAACCCAGGATTCTAAAGCTGATAATCAACCTTGCTGCAATGCCCTCTAGTGTTCCAACCCTTTGCTTAAGGTATCCAAAGATCTAAAGATGAAAGATATGTGGAGTCAATATGGTCCCAACCTGCAAGGGGAGACAAGCATCAGCTAAACCTCAGTGTGACACTTCCTCTCTATATCAAGGGATGACACAGTGTATTAAATAAGAATCAAAATTAGGATAGATCACCAACTGTAGGCTAGGCTCCTGTACTGGTTCAGTGACACACTTCCTTAATTCAAACCTATGACCTGAAAAAATGATTAATTATGACTGACCATGTACCTTGCCTTTATTCTAGAAGAATCAAAACTGAAAATGTAATAGTATGAATACCAAGAGTTTACTGACTTTCACAGCCCTGTTCTGTTGGTTCATTTATTCTTCCTAGAATACCTTTTTTTTTTTGCCTAATGAAACTGAATTTGTCCTATAAATGTTGTTTCCTCCATAAAATACTCCAAATCCACACAAATAAAGTTAATTACTTCTGCTTCTGAGACTTCATAATAGTGGTCTGTATTCCTATTATTGCAATACTACTCGAAGTGTGGCAGTCCACAATGAGACACATAAAGAAACAGAGAGCAAGCAATTAGGAATTACTATTAAGCAATTTGATGCACTTAATAATTTTTTTTTCCTTATTGATATTAGAGAGAGAGGAAGAGAGAGATAGAAACATTGACGAGAGAGAACATCGATTGGGTGCCTCCTGCATGCCCCCCACTAGGGATCAGGCCCACAACCTGGGCATGTGCCTGACCAGAAACTAAACTGGAGACCTCTTAATGCATGCGTCAACTCTCAACCACTGAACCACACCAACCAGGCAACACTGAATAATTTTTTAGTCGGCCTTGTATTTGTCTTTTTTTACTAATTCATTTTATTGTGTTTTTTAAAATAATGGATTCAGAGTTGTTTTTTTTTAATAGTTTGGCATCACAGATATTGTGAGAAACACCATATTATAGCATTTATTTCACTTTATTCAGCACTATAGTTAATTTATATCTGTCTTGCCCACTAGCTCAGTTGCCAGCCTGCCTTTTTTAAATCTGCCAAAGCTGATACCACAGTGTTTTGAGGTATACAATCTCAACAGGTGATATTGATAGAAATTGAGCTGAGAATCTTCTGTAGTCTTACATTGAAACTGCCTTCTTAATATTCTCTCTGAAACACAAAGGATAACTTCATTTTGTTTATCCCCCAACTGTTATTAATGTAGGCCAGTAACCCATAAGGAATATATAAGTGTTTATATATATTCTTTACATTTATTTTATGACTCATTCTATCACGGTTTTCAAGATGTTACTCAGAGAAACAAAAGATATACCTAATATCTGCATAATCATTTTGCAAAGAAATATGATATCACTTTATTTTTAAACAAAGCAATGGCAAATTCACTGTGGCTATAGACTTATTAATAGACTCAGCACCAAGGCATTTGTCTGAGGCTTTCAACCTCTTTGCTAGGCTCACTGGTCAGATAAAAAGCTATGTGATGGCCCTGGCTGGTTTGGCTCAGCAGTTAGAGCGTCGTCCAGCAGACCAGAGAATCCCAGGTTCAGTTTCTGCTAAGGGCACGTGCCTTGGTTGCAGTTTGTCCCCGGCCCCAGTTGGGGTCATATGGGTGGCAACCACTCGATGTGTCTCTCTCACATCTATGTTTCTCTCTCTCTTTCCTTCCCTCTCTCCCTCCCGCTCTATCTGAAGATAAATGAAAAAAAAAAAAAAAAAAAAAAAGTCCATGGGTGAGGATAAAAAAAAAAAAGCTATGCAATGGATACACAGAATCCCCTTTTTATAATTTTGCATGGTGGTCAAAATGTTACTATAATAAACAGAAGCTGAAACATTCATGATTTGAGGATGATTCAGCATTTCAGAGATTACATATATGCACAGAGTAGTAGCCTTGTTGTCATTTAGTAGATGTGATCTCAGCAATTCTCATTGCCTGGCTTCTCATGCAGCTCCTCTCTTTAAGCTTTGCTCAAACATGAGCAGTCCCCCATTCTCAGCAAACTACCTATGGATCAGAGAAATTGGTAATCTTAAACTATGCCCATATTCCTTTTAAATGTCTAAAATAAAGGCAGTGATACTTGGAATCAACCAATTTTTATAGCTATGTACTCAGTGTGACAGAAACATGAAATACTTCCACAGCACTTTTTCTAATTATACCTAGTGAGTTTCTTGTAGATTTTTCTTCTTCCTAATATTTTTGGCAATGAATAATGATTATACTGGTTAGCTGAGAAAGAAGAGAGAGAAAAATTAAAAAGTCATTTTAGGGTAATAGCCTGAACTTGCATTAGAAACTTATAGTTATACATACACTTATCTCTTTAATTCTCCATTATATAAGTAGGAAGTTGGGTAGATTGGTGCTTAAGAAAAAGCAAACATGTGAAACTACTCTAAATTTGATTGGAGCTAGAGAGCTGTAAAGCATAATTACATCTAAATATAATTCTCTACTAACAGTGCTTAAGACAAATTTTAATACATGACTATTCACTCAAAGAACAGAGGTACACCTATCAATAACCAAATTATTTTTATTAATATCTTGAAAACCTATGAGATTTTAAAACTGTTTTCAATTTGGTTAGTCTGTTTTCTATTTTCCTCTCCTTGAAAAAGTGTATTTCATAATTTATAATTTATATAATGGCCTCTGAACATCACCATTTGTAAAAAGCAAAATGATTTCCTGTATGTACTGTATATTAATGATCTAATAAAAATCTTTTAAAATAACAGTTTTGTTACCACAGCAGTAATTACCAAACAAAAATTAGTAATGATTGCAAACAGGAAACAACCTAAGAATGACTCTTTTGTAAGGCATTTGTAATCAGGAAGAAGACCTAGTTTGTGTACACATAGGTATAAGCTTGTAATTAGTATAGCCTTATCCATTTATGAACTTTTTCAAATTTTGATACATAGAAGTTGCTTTCTCATTTATTTTCCATGTGCCATTACTTAAGATAAATTACATAAGAATTCCTAATTACAAAGTTTGCAAAACCAGGAACCTACGCTAAGAATCCCCACTAAAACTACTCATCTTCTTTCTATGTTAGAGTCTAGTGCACTGCTGACATGTAAAGAGTTCACTTATGGGCAGTCACCCAAATTGTGCTTACTTTCTATCATTTACTTTGTTATTTACTTTCATTTACATTTTTGTTCCATCATTCCTCTCAACAGTATTAAGTTCTGTGTTACAAGGTACCTTGTCCTTTTTGTTCATATGATACCCCAAAATCTACAACAATGCTTGACACAGAGAGAGTACTGACATAGTTTTTAAATGAATCATTGTATCTGGAAAGCAGTAAATTTAAAGAGAAACAAACAAAAACAAACTCCATTATTTTTCATTTTCCAGTAAGTAAATATCAAGGAAAGTAATATATCACTTCAAGGTTTATTTGACCCAAACTAATGGATCAGTCTATATGCCTTTGAAGCTTTATATGAGAGATTTAAATTAATTAAACTTAACATCTTCAAATATTAAAAAGGTGAACTAAGTAAAAACAAGTTGAAAAAAAATCTAAGATTTGTGAAAAAAAATTATTCAGTTTAGTATACTACTCCATTTCATTAAAATCACACATATATTTATATTTTTTGGCTTCTGTGATTTCTAAGCACTGTGGAATTTTATTATACTTATAGACTATTGGTAATACTTTTCCCAGTCAAAAAGAATCATAGGATTTGAAGAAATCTTAAGAATCAAGTGGTTCACATATACACAATGGAGTACTATGCAGCTGTAAGAAAGAAAGATCTCTTATCCTTTGAGACGACACGAAGGGACCCGGAAAGTATTATCCAAAGTGACACAAGCCAAGCAGAAAAAAACAAATGATCTCACTTATATACAGAATATAATGAACATAACAGTCAGAGGAATACAGTAGACCCAGAAACATAGAAGTAGGGTACAGACTGACAACCCTCAGAAGAGGGGGAAGTGGGAGTGGGAAGATATAAACCACAGAACTTAAATGCATGTATGCATAACCAATGGACATGGACAACACAGCTGGGGCGGGGGGGATGGAGAGGAGGGTGTCAATGGGGTAAAAAAGGAGAAACATCTGTAACAAAAATAAAATAAATAAATTAAAAGAAAAAAGAATCAAGTGGTTCCCTATTGATTTTTATAAATATGAAAACAGATCCAAAACAGCCAACACTACAAAAACTAGAATGGACTCAGATCTACTCTCAGTTCAGAGTTATTTTAACATTATATTGATAAATAGTGGTGAGAAAGCTGATATACCACAGATCTTTCCATACACTACAACTCCTTAGATATACTGGGTACTTTCTAACCTTTTCTAATTGTTGACCACACTGTGGTAATTCGTTTTGTAAAAAAATTTATATTCAAATTAACATCAGTCCAAACTGTATTCCTACCTCTAGTTCTCAAAAAAAGAACATAGGAAATAGACATCTTTAATCATTTATCGCTCAATAATAATTTATTGAGAATGATCAGAAATTTATCATTCTCTTTCTACTAAGTGGGCCCCTCAGAGTAACCCTTATTGCTCCCTGATAGTCCACAATGAAAATTCCATGCTCACAATGCTGGTATAGTCTTGGAGTTCTGTGAAAGCCTCATGAAATAGTTGACCATTTTGATGTTTCCCATTGTTCTCAACAGATGCTTGTGTATGAAGGATAGGAAATGTAAAGCAATGACAACAACAAAAAACAGTTCTCCTCCCACCCAGCACTGAGGTTTCTAGTTTGTTTTAACTGCTCTATTCTTAGCTGTCTGGTCTGTCATTCCAGTGGCACTTTGAGCACTTTGCTGCTGGGAAATGGGAGATTTAGCCTCCCATACTATGTTTAAGGCTTTTTAACAACCGTGGAGTTCAGCAACTAGAACAACTCTTCTACAACCCAACTATGAGTGTCTCTATACAGTTTCAGATGTCACTGGTTGAAATCCCAAAGCAGAAAGCCAAAAGCAGGGTCACTATTGTTCAGGACTATATTAAGTAGCTAGGAGGCAACACTACCACAGCTTCCAACAAAAGTTGGGAGGTTGGAAGAATCCCATTAGATATGGTCCAGAATATTATTGGAGCTTACAAAATTTCTTTGCCTATATAATGCTCCCAAAGTTCGTTTTCATGATACGTTTACTTTATTTAGACTCTGTTTCTTTCCAAAGAAGGTCAATGACAACTTACCCAAAAGGGCATACATAGAAAAATGGCGGCGCAGTGAAATGAAGCTACACAGATCAACTCCCAGGACCAAACTGTAATTACAATGAAAATAAGACAAATTGACAGGAAAAAGCAACAGAAAAGTAGCTTGGAGGACCACAAAACCAGGGACACTGACTCAATCTTAGTAGTCTTGCAAAAACGCAAGGGGGGGGGGGGGCGCTGGGATCCTATGGTCTTTAGGGGCCTTAGCTGTGAGCAGTGCCCACGGGTTAAACCTCCAATCACTTCCACAGCACAGGGCGGGGACAGAGGCTAAAACAGCCACAGCCACTTACCTTGGGCACCAGCAGACAGTGGGCACACTGGACTAGAACTGCGTGGGAACATTTGGGATTTGAAGGGAGCTCAGAGCTTTCCCTGACTTGTGGCCACACAGGACAGTGGTCATCTTACTCCTTCCCAGGGTTCTTGGGAGAGGTGGAGGCCCCTCCCTTGGGGATTCAACCACACCCAGTGGACCATTGAAATGCAAATTGAGGCCCATTAACAACCACCATCTGCCCCACTCTAAAAAAATCGCCTTACTCTGACCACCTGAGGGAGTTTTTCACTCAACTCAGAACACAAACCTCTTCAGGTAACCTCAACTGATAGCCTCCATGCAGAAAGCTAGAGGATAACTGTAATATCCCTGGGCTAGCAACTCTAACCAGGAAAGGAAGACTTGACAGCCATGTTGAACTTGGGTTTTCCATGGTTCATCCAAACCCAGGAGAGGGAGCCACAAAGAGCAGAACACCAACACCCACAGGGAAAATTTTGCAGGCACCAAAGTCCACAGTGATAGCCAAAATGGTGAAACAAAAAACAAAACACAAATAAAAGAACAAGAGACCTCTACCGAAGATGAGATAAATGAGGTGCAGTTAAGCAAGTTAACAGAACTAGAATTCAGAGCCATGATCTTGAGGAAGCTCAGCAGCATGTGTAAGGACATCAGCACCATGAGTAAAGACATAGAAATGTTGAAAATAAGCCAGTTGGAAATTAAAAACCACCAAGAAGAAATGAAGAACAACATATCAGAAATAAAAAACACATTGGAAGGTCTAAATAGCAGAGAAGAGGAAGCTGAGGACCGGATTAGTGAATCAGAAGATATAGATTTATTTTTTTCTACCCTCAAAAAACCAAAAGGAAAAAACAATTAAAAAAAACAGAAAGACAGCTTAACAGAACTGTAGGACAACTGGAAAAATAATCACATTCGCATCATAGGAGTCCCCGAAGAAGAAAATGAGCAAGGGATAGAGAATATATTTGAAGAAATAGTGACAGAAAACTTCCCTAATTTGGTGAAGGAAGAAAGCATTCAAGTTCAAGAAGCACAGAGAGCCCCAACTAAGAAGATCCCAAACAGGCCCACACCAAGACACAAAGTAATCAAAAAGCCAAAAATTAAAGACAAAGAGAGAATCTTAAAAGCATCAAGTGAGAAGCAACAGGTTACCTACAAAGGAAACCACATAGGCTCTCAGCTGACTGCTCAACAGAAACACTACAGGCCAGAAGGGAATGGCAAGAGGTAATCAAGGTCATGAAAAACAAAGATCTGAATCCAAGACTACTCTACCCAGCAAGACTATCATTCAAAATAGAAGATCAAATAAAGAGCTTCACAGACAAAAAAAAAGGCTAAGGGAATACATTAGCACCAAACCCGCACTGTAAGAAACGTTAAAAGAACTGCTGTAATTAGCAGGAGAAATAGGAAGAAAAACAGAACCACACTAAACAAAAATGGTAATAAATAAGTACATATCAATAATCACCTTAAATGTAAATGGACTGAATGCTCAGATAAAAAGACACAGGGTAGCTGATTAAATAAGAAAGCATGACTCATCTATATCTTGTTTACAGGAGACCCACCTCACAACAAAAGACTCACATAGGTTGAAAGTGAAGGGATGGAAAAAAATCTTTCAAGCAAACGAAAAGAAAAAAAAAGCTGTATTATCATA